TCGAGGACAAAATTTAATGAAAAAATAGATTTCTTCAATTTCATTAAATTTTTCAAGATAAATTTTTGTTATTTTATTTTTATTTGATATAAAAAATTTTAAATCTGGTAACTAAAACAAAAAACAAGAAGAATATTTTAAATTAATAAAATAAAAAAAAAGGGTGTGGATGTGGGTGTGGGTATGGGGTGTGAGTGTCGATTGACTTGAACATCCACACCTACACCCACACCCTACTTTCGCATTTTCTCCAACTTTGCACCTCCATCAGATACAACCACGAGAATTCCAAAACCTCTCCTATAGTGGAATATCATCAGCACACCTACCTCTATCATTCCTGAAAATGTCATCTTTGTCCAATGAGTTTTACTCAAAATCGAATTTTCACGGTTTTCTGACGACAAACCTGTTGAAAATCTCATACAAAAACCGTGAAAATTCGATTTTGAGTAAAACTCATTGGGCAAAGATGAAATTTTCAGGTATGATAGAGGTAGGTGTGCTGATGATATTCCACTATAGGAGAGGTTTTGAAATTCTCGTGGTTGTATCTGATGGAGGTGCAAAGTTGGGAAAAATGCGAAAGTAGGCCCCAAAGATGGCTTTGCCATTTAGCTCAGGGACAAGCTATAGACCTGTGAATTTCAGCACTAGATAGAGGACAGTTACATGATTCAAGAGCACTACCAAATGTTAAAATTTTGTTTAGGCTTCATAGAGATATCCGAGCCCAAAAAAAGCCAAAAATTAGCATTTTGCTGTAGCGATTTCCCAAAAAACAGAACATGAGGGAAAAAAAACATCGCTACAAAAAATGATCATCTCATTGAGTAGTATCTATGGTAAAATTTTCAGACTTCTATCATTTGAAATAGAAAAACTAGCCATGGTTCAGTTTGGCTAGGAAAACCTACTTTGAACCCCCTCCTCCGCACTCCTTCGCAAGGTTTTAAAATTTTTTTGACCCTAAGCATAGCTATAGGGTTACTAGTTCTACAAACTTAGAAAGTTTCATTCCATTTGGTTAAAGACGATTTAAACTCTGGTATGTTCTCGAAAGGATTACTCAATATACTATAGGTGTTCCGAGAAAATGACCCAGAACTCGATATCTTCAATAGGAAAGATCTGACTTTTTTTTCCATTAAAAGTGTTTTCTAGAGCCTACGGGCATTTTGGACGAAAAAAACAATCTAAAAAAAAAAACTTTTTCCAGAAAAGTGGTTCGGTCTCCATGGATTCATCCAATACTCATTAAAACGATATAATTAGGAAACAGAGTTCCAAATATCTAATAGAAATATAATACAATAATGTGAATATAATGACTGATCAGTTCTAAAGCATTTCATCTCAATTTCACATTGTTCTTAAGTCATTCGGTGAGTCAACAAAGAATTTTAATCATCTTGAAAATATATTTGATAAAACATTCTCCAATATTTAGATTAAGTAATACGAGAATTATAAAAGAAAATTACCGATTATTTTCTATTCTCTATTTAAGAACACATCATAATCTTTGATACAAAAGTTACTATTTTATATAATATAATTGATTTATTGCGTAAAAACAGCGATCATATCAGACAAGTAGTTATTAAACTTTTTACTTTAAAATGAAAGCACACATTTCTTTAGTGATTATTTAATTCACATGGTCTAATCGAGTGAAAAACCATCTTGATAAATATATAAATAAATTGATAATACATTGTAACGGAAAATCTGAGAATGCCTATATTCAATATGGAAAGACACCAAGATGGAGGCAGATATCAATCGTTATTATTCTTGTAACTTTTTTAGTTGTCCAAAAATGACAATTTAACTCTTCAATTTTAATGCGATGAATTTGACTGAATCATTTTTGTCTTTGTCCGTGTCAGAGGATAATGATCACCATGAAATTGTAGCACACATTTTCGAATTACTTAAGTCTTTTCTCAAACAAAGCATAGATCCACAAGAAGTTAACGTTATCCCGGTTTAACTTTTCCTTTACAGCTGTAAAGAAACTTCATCTGTTTAGTTCCTCTCGTCTATTTAATCCTTTTATTCTCTTTACTCTCTTTAGCCTTTTCACTGCTGCTGTGTTTTGTACATTTTCAATTAAATATAAAATAACAAAAGTGATAAGACAAAAGCTCAGATGACGGAAGAAAGTAACACTACTAAAGGAATAAAATGCGTAAAGGTACTAAAGTAAGAAAGAAAGTAAATGAGTAGGAAAGTAAAGATACTAAAGGCAGTAAAGAATGCAAATGAGTAAGGTACTAAAGGGCGTAAAGGAAGTAAAATGAATAAAGGTACTGAAGGCAGTAAAAGTATATAAGGGAGTAAATAAACAGAAAGATCTCAAGGGATAAAAACTGTTTATAGCTGTAACGAAAAAGTTAGACCAGCATAAGTTTGATTTCTTGAGAACTCCTTAAACAAAGATAATGTGGTATGTTCTAGTTATCTATTCATGAATATAGCGATAGGAGACACGCACTCCTCTCTAGTCCCCTCTCCCTTCGAGAAAATTTTAATTTCTTCCCAATCAAAATCATATTTTTATTGAAGAAAAAGATCACAGAATGAAAAAACTCTGTCTGCCTTCCTTTTAAGAATTCTATATAAAGCTTTCACCCCTCAAAAGATTTTCCTTGCATAGAAATTGATAGATAGAATTCACATTGTTCGTACATTATACACGAAAGGAAGAAAAGATACAATCGTTCGGTGCACGAGAAAAAAGAAACATGAATCATGGGTAGTCATTGTTCTCAATTATATAAAATCCAAAGCAATTATTTAGATAACATTAACAATGCACTTTACTATTCTATTCGTCTTGGCAATTTTAAAGGTAAATGATAAGAAAAAAGATTGGTTATCTATTTTGATCTATTTTATATTAGATATGTGTATCATCAGTATTATTTCGTATTCACAGTAACAACGAAAATGTTTTCATTAATTCCAGTTATCTATTTGGTACAATACATTCTCCACATCATCTTGTCTGGTCTTATCTTTCAAATGATAGTCTTCAGATTTTTGCTGAGAGCGAAGAAATTTGGATGGAACAGGATTTTACTGATTCTCCAATTATTAAATATTTGTACGGATGTAAAATTGATAGCATGACACGAAAACAACAAGCTCATTTGCGTACAAAAACATGGTCTCAATTTCTTAATGAAACAAAAAGAAAGCCTAACAATAAATCAAAAAAATCTAATAGTAAATTTTTCATAATAAAATCTTGATAATTAAAGAATTTTGTTTAAGATCTTGCACAATGGCGAAAATGGTTTATTAACAAGCAACTAATATTGAATAAATATTTTTGGCGTAATGAAACAATATCTAATGATACAATTGTTGATCATCGTATCATTCTTGAAGCTTATCAAAGAGGAATATACGTTGGTTCACTTGAATCTATTCCAAATGATTGTTCTCTGGTATGAAGATTCAATGTTTTCTATTTTAATTTTGTTTTCGAATATATACATAGATTAATAAGCTACAAAGTAGTAAAAAGTCATCAAAATATTTAGAATTAAGCAATACAATATTAGCTTCTCGTCTTTACAATTGTGATATGATAAATGATGATGTCGTAAACAAGGCTTTTGAAACTTTGAAGTTCTTTAAAACGAAAAAACGAAATCAACAAATAACAAAAAAAATTCGAAAATTATTAAAAAAAGATTCTCATAAAAAATATGTGTTTGCTATTGGTGCAGGTTATTTAGTTCTTCAATTTCTTGTTTGAATAAAAGTATTTCACTCGGTTTTTTAGCTCATCTATTTGGCAATATTAGTGTTGTTCGAATGTTAGAAGATCAATTTAATAATGATTATTATATCGAACAAATCGATTCACCTAGTCAAAATTTTCCATCTGAGTATGTATCATTTTTTATTGTCGAAAATTTTGATATCATACGAATTTGAATTTTTTTATTTGGTATAGACTTTGTACTGATGAAGAAATCGAACGATTAATAAATGAGAATAATTTTGTTCAAAAAAAAATCTCTTACGAAAAGATTTACCAAAGATGAATTATTTCATTGAATACCAGCGTCTCTTTTTCATTGAACTTCATATATCGAATGAAAAGTTTTTTGTTTTATACTCTTCAATAGTATCTCTCTTACAATAAATTTAAAATAAAATAATTGAATTTGTTGTATCGCTGCTTTGGACAACAAACAATACTCTTTATGAAAAATACAAAAAATCTCAAAGGATATGTCAAGTTATACTTTGAATGATTAGAGAATGTCTTATGAAGAATTGTATAGTGTACAGAGCTCGGATTGTTACTTGTAGTGTACTTGATGTGCGTTCGCAATAACATCTTTATGTCTTGTATGAAACATAAACTCAGCAGGATCATTTTATTCGTCGCATTTCGCTGTACAAAATGATATAGACCAATCCTTTCAGTCTGTTGATAAATAGCAGAACAAATTGCAAATACTGCTTAAAATTACAAGTACCAACAAGTACAAGTACTTGGTGTACTTGAACACAGTTTTCTATTGAATGAAGCCCATATGACAAAAGTTTATATGAGCATTTCTGTAGTCTTCAATGTGACAAATAAAATAAGCCAATTGGGTATGGACTTATTTCGAACAATATAAGAATTATAGTGGAAATACTTGAGTTTTGCCGGAAGTACTTGTCCGAGCTCTGATTTATTGAATAAAATATAATATCATTCCAGCCTCTATTCCATGTATATTGATATGTAAAGAACCATTGTCTTTCAAACCAAAATGACGAAGTGAATCGTTTAATTTGAACTTTATATGGAAATTCTGTATTTTCATTAGAATTTTCAGAAAAGATATGTTGAAAATCAAAGATACGTAAATATGGCATGGAAGATAAAATTAGTCGTTCCCATCGATTTGCATCTAAATATTCTTTATATCTGCTTGTTGAGATATATAACAATTGAACATTACGAAATAGATCTTTTATCAATATTTCAATATCATCAAAATTTATGTCTTTTAGTTTTACAGAAACATGTTTCAAATCTTTCAAATATTTTAATACAATTGGACAAATATCTTTTCGTTTTTTACGAGATTCATATAGATAATTAATTGAAAGACTATCTTTAATAATGAGATGTTCAATAGAACCATATTCATTAGTAGCAATAGGTAATAGTTCAGTTGTATTGAACATTCCAAATGATAGTGTACAATATTTCAATGTAGGTAGACGAAATATGTAACGATAAAAATTGTTTGGATTTTTAATATTATCAGTAAGAATTATAACCAATGACGAAAGATTGGATAAAGAAGATATATTATTAAGAATATTTTCCAGATGTTTAGATTCTAAATTATCAAGAACAAATGTTTGTAGTCGAATAAATTTTGAAATAATATTAGATGGTGATAAAATATAGTACTCCGAGAATAATGAATTCGAAAATCGAAGTGTGTTAATTCAATGCAGGTTAGGAGTAATAATTTCTTTGTAGTAACATTGAAAACTCAATTGGAGCATGGTTGAAATATTGACGTTGATAGGAAAATTTGAATTAATAAAATTTTGAAACCGTTGGTTAAGCTGAGAAAAAGCTTTATAAATATGATCAATATCAAGATGGTCAAAAATTTCATAGAAAATTTCATTTGAAAGATCTTCAAAATTTAATCTGTTCCTATCCACTATTTTTACCATAAAAAAATATTTTGTTTAAGAGTTAAATGATTTTTACCTTGTAAATTTTTTCTTTTTATGATAACATCGGTATTAACATTAGTAATTCGTGATCTTTTCTTTTTTCATATTGAAACTAGTTTTAAAAATGTCAAATAATACATTTACCGCACTATATATTAACAAGTATTCTTCAATCTATGATAAAATAAAATAAAAAAGATTGTATATGTATATTGCAATAACACAACTTAGAAAAAAAACAAAAAACATGAGATATAACATACAGAAATCAAGAGAAAAGATAAAGAAAAAATTACATATCTATGATTCACTAAAAGTGAAACATGTGCACACATACATCGTCAGACAAAAGACTTGACACTAATCTCCCTTCTCTTTTTTCTGCATTACATATTCTAACAATTGTTCCAATAATAAAAATTTTACTAGATCATCTGCAAATAAAACAATATATTTCGAGGGTGCTGGGTGATAGTGTGTGAATGTGTGTGAAAGAAGACTAAGGCAACATCCACCCACACCCACGCCTACACACCCACACCCCCACTCACACTCACACCCACACCCACACCCACCCACCCACACCCACCCACACCCACACCCACACCCACACCCACACCCACACCC